GTAATGCATGGTTCAACAGTCAATCTGCTGAGTAATGCATGGTTCAACAGTTAATCTGCTGAGTAATGCATGGTTCAACAGTCAATCTGCTGAGTAATGCATGGTTCAACAGTTAATCTGCTGAGTAATGCATGGTTCAACAGTTAATCTGCTGAGTAACGCATGGTTCAACAGTTAATCTGCGGAGTAATGCATGGTTCAACAGTTAATCTGCTGAGTAATGCATGGTTCAACAGCTAATCTGCTGAGTAATGCATGGTTCAACAGTCAATCTGCTGAGTAACGCATGGTTCAACAGTTAATCTGTTGAGTAATGCATGGTTCAACAGTTAATCTGCTGAGTAATGCATGGTTCAACAGTTAATCTGCTGAGTAATGCATGGTTCAACAGTTAATCTGCTGAGTAACGCATGGTTCAACAGTTAATCTGCTGAGTAATGCATGGTTCAACAGTTCATCTGCTGAGTAATGCATGGTTCAACAGTTAATCTGCTGAGTAATGCATGGTTCAACAGTTAATCTGCCGAGTAATGCATGGTTCAACAGTTAATCTGCCGAGTAATGCATGGTTCAACAGTTAATCTGCTGAGTAATGCATGGTTCAACACGGGAGGGACTTTTTATTTACATGAGAACTAAATGTAAAAAGATGATGCAGCCAACAGCAGTTTACATCTTCCTGTCACAGTAATTCTAGTTTGTTGGTAATGATTATATTATTTCACTTTACATTACATTTGATTTAGCTGATGCTTGAACCAGAGAAACGTACAATATGTGCAATTCACCATGAAGATATATAAACCTCAAGAAGCAAGAGAGCTGGAGTTATATCAGCTTCAAATGACCACAACATGTGCTGGTGCATCAGCGTCTGCTTAAACATCGTATAGTGGATGAGTGGAGTCAATGGCTCCAGCATGTCACTCTCAACCACTTCCTTCCTTCCTTCCTGTCCGGTCTATATTAACCCTGTGAGGACACGTGGAAGAGAGAGCACTCGGCACAGACTTGGTTTGAGGATACAGTCGATGATGCGGCCCCCCTGGATGTTCCCCTTCTGGCTGAAGTGAAGCTGCACGAACTTCCCGAAGCGGCTGGAGTTGTTGTTGTAGACGGTCTTAGCGTTCCCAAACGCCTCCATGATGGGGCTGTGGAGCGGGCAGAGGGACATCAGAGTTTACAGCAGATTAGATACACACTTTATTGGGTTAAACATGTTATGAAATATAAGAACAAATATAATAAAACAAGATGAATACAGCTATAAAGACAGTTCATATATCCATATCACGCAGACAGTTGGCATCAACCAGGTTCCCAGGAGATGTCCCTTTTCAACACAGTTCATTGAGTCCATGCTTTTATTTATTCTGGAGAGGATCACAGATACATGGATCCTGAGATTCAAGCTCAAGCCGGTGACGAGTCATTATTAATATTTTTAAGTATTCAGAAAAAGTCCGAATTTTGGGATTTTGAGAAAAATACATGATTTTGAGAAAAATACATGATTTTGAGAAAAAGTCAGAATTTTGAGATTTTTTGAAAAAGTCAGAATTTGGAGATGTGGAGAAAAAAATCAGAATTTTGAGAAAAAGTCAGAATGTTGAGATTTTTTGTAAAAAGTCAGAATTTTTAGATTTTTAGAAAAAAGTCAGAATTTGGAGATTTTGAGAAAAATGTCAGTATTTTGAGATTTTTTGAAAAAGGCAGAATTTTTTGAGAAAAAACCTGAATTTTGATAAAAGAAATTCGGAATTTGGAGATTTTGGAGAATAAATCAGATTTTGGAGAAAAAGTCAG